TCTTATAAGAATATAACATTGTTACTATATGTTCTTCGTCTTCTTTTTCATTATAAACTTTTTTATTATGTTTTGATTTAACTTTTTTCATAAAGCTTGAAAATAATGTTTTTAAACCTAATTCTTTTACAAATATTTCATTTGATTTCTTTGATTCTGTTAATGAATAATCTAGTATTTTTAGTGCTGCTCCTCTAAATTGTGTTTTTTTCCTAAATTAAGAAAATAAAATATTGGAATTAATAAACTATTTTTATTGGTTGTTGTATTTTTAATATATTATTAATATACACATACTTTATAAATAATAACATTAATTGAATTCCTTCTGATTTTAAAAATAATTCTTTATTTGATTCACTATTTAATAATAATGAACAAATGGAGGAGAATAAGTTTTCAATAAATTCTTTTTCTTGAAGTGATTCGACATCTCTTTTTAAAAACTGAGAAATGATAACTAATAATTGTTCAATACCATCATATTTCTTTGTGAATGTTGATCTTGATACTTCATCGTTTAATAGAATGGTTGATAGTAATTCACTACTATATAGTTTAATTGGTGTTGGTGTTTTTGGATTGGTAGAGTACTGTAAAATAAATTTGAAAAAATTTGATTTATTTCCTAAAAGGGGTGCAATAAGCAATGGATCTAAATCTAACATTGTTTCGAATATTGAAAATGTATTATGAATAGCTTGTTGTTCATCATCTGCAGTGACATCTAATCTTGATAAATTATCCACCAATGTTACAACTACACCATTATCAACATATGAATGTAGTAAAGTTAAACCTTCATCTTGTTCATTATCTTCTTGTTCAATAAGTTCATTAAATAAATCTATAACATCTATACTGATATCGGTATTTTCGTGTAAAATTAATGACCCCAATGATTCGATTGATTTTAATGATACAAATAGTTTATATAAATCTGGTGAAGTTGCTAAAATTTGAAATTTTTTAATTTCTTCATCCAATTCTATTTCACTTTCCATAAATCTAAATTAAATTAAAATATTAGAGTTTATTTTTTTATCATTTATGATTTATTATAACAATTGATATTTGATAATTTTAAACCAAACTTACTTTTCGGGTTCATTTTTAAATTTTAAACGAAGTTGTTCATTTCTTATTAGTTTTTTTTCAAATGAAAATACTAATTTCTTTAATGTAGTTGGGTTTAATTCTTCAAACTTTTTTAAAATAGTTTTTAAAAAAAAAAAAAAAAAAAAAAAAAACTTTAAGGTTTAAATTAAAAATTAAAAGCCTATATATTTAATATATAAATTAAACTTACCTCTTCATTTTCTACTTGATTAACCAACTCTTTAATATGAGTAATTTCAGCTTTTGAAATTTTTGATGGTTCTGTTGAACTGAAGGCATTTTTTCTTTTACTCATTATAATTATTTAATTAAATTAACAAAAATGAATATTTTTTATTTTTTTAAAAAAAATTAAAAAAAAAAAATATAAAAAAAAAAAAAAAAAAAAAAAATTTTCTTTTTTTTTATTTAATTTATTTTAGGCAATGAAAAAGTTAACATTTCATTTGGATGGAATATTTTAATTTAATTCAAACTAATGATATAGCTTTCGAAAAAATATGTAATGGCTTCAATAATCTAGAATCTCTTATAAATACATCATGGAATATTAATAAAATATCACCTTTATATAAATTCAATATATTAAATCAAAAAGAATCATCATTAAATGATTATTTAACAATATTATCGACCCAATTAAATGATTATATATTAGTTTATTTATCTTCAAATTCAAGTCAAACAAACTCATTTAAAATCTATTCAAAAATAATAATAATTAATAATAATAATAGTGAAATACCCAACATAGCAATTTTAGTTTGTTTGAAAAACTTAAAAAGTAAATATAAATAAAAATATAGAAATAACTCCTATAATAAATAAAATTAATAATTTATAATTAATAACAATATTTTATTAAAATGTAGCAAATAAATCAAATATTTCAAAACTTTTATTAATTTCAACTGATGAAGAAAACAATATCACCACAAATAGTAATTTATTTATAAAGTATAGTATGGCTCTTTTACAAGGAAACAAACCAATTTTAAACGCAATCACAAATTGGTTAAGTAGTAAGTTTGATTGTTATATATCTGAAGTTATTTTTCCCTCTATCGTGGTTTATCAATTATTATCAAAGTGGATACAAAAGGAAATTCAAAGATCCCATGGTAATAAAAAAAAAAAAAATAACAATATAGATAATAATAGTCAATTATTTATACCCAAAAAGCATTTAGAATTGGTTTATTCATTTGAATCACTATTAAATAATAATCAAGAAGAAGATAAATCCCTCTCTGTAGTAAAGATAACAATTCCACCAGAAACAATAAAAAATATAATGAAAATAATTATAAATTTAAACAATAATAATAATAATAATAATAATAATAATAATAATAATAATAATAAAAATAATAATGAAACCTATGAAAAAAGTTCAATCTTATTTACTGCAATTAGTGAACATTTTCAATCATTAATGAATTTTCCATTGGAATCATGTGCCTTAGTTCAGTCTGGTAGTAGTGATGCTTTGTTAAGTGTCTCTGGAAAATTAAAAGTAAATATTATAATTAAAAATATTTTCATTGTTTTTTTTTTTTTATAAAAATATCTCAATCATTTACTAATTTTTTTTTTTTTAAAGATTTATTCAAATCCAAAAGAAATTTTAAAAGATTTAGCAGATTTTATATAATAAATAAATATTTTATAATAACAAAAATAAATAAAATAAAATAAATAGATTAAAAAATAGAATACATATAAAGTATTTGGTTTATTTTAAGGACTTATTTAAAAATCCTTTTAACAAGTTTCGGAAATATTTTAAAATTTACATTTGGTTTAGTTGAATTTAAATTGTACATTGGGAAAGTTTGATACAGTTGTAATTATTATAATTACTATTAATATTTGTTTGTTATTGAAGATGTTTTTTAATATACATAAAATTAAAGAGGAGGAAAAATACAGTTGGGGTATATGATTATTATTTCTTTTTTTTAAAATAATAATCTTTTTCTGGCTATTGGTGAGTCAATATTTTTAAAAGATGAGGATGGAATGAATTGGATTTGACTTTGAGATTTAGAAACTTTTGGGGATAAAAGTGATGAGATGTCATTGGATGAGTTTAGTTCTTGATTTAAATCTGGGAATAGGATTCTTTTTTTACAGTTTCCAGATGTTGTTTTAGGTTGAAGGTAAGCATAATTCTTTTTAGGTGCACCAGGGCAGATTGGTTCAAAGTATTGCCCTCTTGCTGGTGATTCGAATATATTTGATATTGATTTTGTGGGAGTGGATGGTGGTGTTAATATTTGTTTTTCATTTGGTACAATTGAATCATCATTATCACTTTCGATTATTGATAGAGATTCAATTTTATTTAAAATATTTAAATGATTATTTTTATTTAATGATTCTATTATATTATTATTATTATTATTATTATTATTACTATTATTATTATTAAAATTATTAAAATTATCACAGTCATTTGTTATACTATTTATAAATTTATTAAAATCTTTTTCATTATTAATAATATAACCAACAGATTCTATATTATTACTATTCATTTTTTATTAATTTATTATTATTAAATTTAATTTTATTTTATTTTATTTACAGAAAAATAGTTTTAATACAAAAAATAAGATTTTATGATTAATGTTTATTGTACAGTTTGGAGTTGATTGTTTAAACAATAATGAAAAAAAAAAAAAAAAAAATATTTTTTTTACCAAAAAATAATAAAAAAAAAAAAATAAAAAAAATAATATATATTTGCAATATTAAAAGAAAATGAAGATATTATTTAATTGATTGTTGATTGGTGTAATTGAAAACAATGTTTTTTTTTTTTTTTTTTTTTGAAAGATTTGATGAAATTTTATTTAAAATAAATAAAAAAAAAAAAAATAAAAAAAAATAAAAAATCAAAAAAAAATATATTTTTTTTATTTGAAGAAATTATATATAGTATATTGTACTTTCGAAAAAAAAATCTTTGATTGGGGTGATCAATAAAAAATAAAATTGGGGTTTGGTTTGAAAAAAAAACAAATTGAAATAAAGAACTATGGAAGAAAATTGTTTACAATTTCAAAAAAATCGTAAATTGGGCTGTAATCTTGTTGGTGAAGATGAAATTTTTTGAATTTTGAGGAATTTTTTAAATCAAAAAAGTTATTTTTGGGGTTAACAAAACTATTTTATTATTATAATACAATAAAAAAGAAAAAAGCTCTAAATTTAAACTAAAATAACAATATTTATAAAAATGTGTGAAATAGTTTTGGCGCCAATAGTTTTGTGGTGATTTGATTTTTGTGTTTTAATATTTTTTAAATTAATATTATGGATCTGAAATAAAAAAAAAAAAAAAATAATGTATATTAATAATAAAAATAATAATGTGTGTTGTTATTGGTTTCGTGCTGTTATAAATATGTGAGAATAAAAAAAAAAAAAAATTAAAATATACTAAAAAAAAATAAAAAATTAATTATAAATTAAAAAATAATAATAAAAATAATAATAATAATAAATATTATGGGTTTGCTATTGGCGAAAATTAATTATTATTGAAACAATAACAATGGTGGTCAATTAATGAGCCTCCTCAATTGATACAAAATTATATATCCAAAACTTATGGATATTTTTGGTGAAAAGAAAAAAATAATGTTTTTTTTTATGTGTTAAAATTGGTGTGTGTTAAAAATAGTGTTAAAATAAAAACACAACCCCCAAAAAAAATTTTATGAAATTTTTTGTAAATTAAACAAAGTGTGTTATATAAAATATATTATATATTTTATATATTTATATTTATAAATAAAGATAAATTTACATATGCTAAATAAAATTTACATAGGCAAAATAAAAATAAATAAAAAATTTTATAATTGAAATTTTAACAAAATATAAATAATGATAATTTTATTTTTAATCTTTTAAATTTTATTTACTTTTTTAAAAAATTTTTTTTTTATTTTTTTACATTATTATAATGGTTCTTTTAAAAATCGAACTATTAAATCAGCTACTTGTTTTGCTTTTTCTAAAGTGAAAGAATGACCACATTCTACACTTTCAACTCTGGCATTTTGAAAATTTTGTTTAAAAGTATTTGTTGAGACTTCAAAAGGTATTACCTGATCTTTGGTACCTAAAATAATTAAAATTGGAAGAGTTGAGGGAATTTGTGGGAATAAATGGACAAATCCACTTGAAAATGGTATATTACATAATGTTGAATGGAATGCATATAAATAGTTTGGTTTTTGATTAATCATCCATCTTGTTTTTTCTACTAAGTCATCAATAACTAATGGGTCAATACTACTATAATCACTAATATCGTTACGAAATCTTTCACTAAAAAGTTATATATTTAAAAAATTGTTTATACAATTAGTGATTTTATACTTGTAAATATTTATTATATAGTTTTACCTACGTTTCTAATCTTTTTAACATTGCTTGAGCCCCAAAAAATCTAAATAAAAATTTACCAACGTAGGGCAAGGTTACAATTCTACCCATTAATGGTACAGGTACAGGTACGATTGCTGGACCTAGTTCACATACTTTTATTAATCTTTGTGGATGGGTAGCAGCAAATAAAGTGGCTACAGCTCCACCCATACTATATCCTATTAAATAAATATTATTTATATTTAAATAATCCAAAAGATCTATCGCTTGAGTTAAAAATAAATCTAATGTATATGCTATTGTATCTTGACTTTCACTTCTACCTCTACCATAAAAATCTATTTTTTTTTTTTTTTAAATTTTTTATTAAAATGAAAAATCATTTAATTAAAAATTTGTTTAAAAACAATATATAATAATATAAAAATAATTACCAAATAATAGTACTGAGTATTCGTTTTCGATTAAATCTTGTACAATCGGATGAAATGACATAGCCCACCAAGATAATCCATGTAAACATAGTACAATCG